CTAATTATATAATCTTGCTCAAGATCGTTAATAATTTGTATTATATTTACTATAGTAAATATAATATAAAACATTAATGATCTTGAGATTACATTATTAGATTTGGTTGATTTTAGATTCATTAGAATCGTCTCTATAAGAGAATTATTTTGGTAGTTAAATCATTCAAATTGGATCAATAAATTAAAAGTTAATTTTTAAAGATTTATTATTTTTATAATAATAATTTTTATAAAATATTATATTATTATATATGGGTGTTATTTTATAGTGACCTGTTGCTATGGTGACCCCACGATTGACCAATCAAAATCAATCATGTAAGTCATGTGGCCGCTGATTTGTAAAGCAATATACATGAAGCAAGCTGGCAAACACATGACTCACAGGACCAATTTTAATTGATTGATCACTTAAAAATATTGCCTGATCACTAACAATTAAAAAAAAAAAGTGAATCTATCATAAATTTTATTAGGGCAATCCCAAAATTTTTTATTTTTTTAAAAAAAAATTCAATACAAATATTTTAATTTATTTTCATTAAATCTATTACTACATTATGATATCATAAACCCAACGAATTCTATTAAAAAAAAAAAAAAAAAAACACAATTCAACAAAATCGGCGATGTTTTAAAGACTCAACATTCGCCCAGTGCTTCCAAACACATTCGCCTATTGCCTTTATACACATTCACCTAGTGCCTTTATATGTTCGTCTGGTGCTTCCATACATGTTCACCTAGTGCTTCTATTACATGTTCACCTGGAGCTTCCATGATACGTTCATATGGTGTTTTCATTAAACATTCGACCCACTTCAGAAAAATTTAAAAAAGTTAGTAAACAAAACAATAACAAAAAAAAAAAAAACAAAAAAACAAAAAACTTTTTACCTACTTAAAATGCTGCAAACATGTTTTCTGGTGCTGATTCTGCTTGGTGAAGCCTTAAAAAAACTTTCAAAAAAGAAAAATGAAATTAGTAACAAGATTAACAAAACAAAGAAAAAGTGAAAGATAAAAAAGAAAAAAAAAAAAAAAACACAATTCAACAAAATCAGCAGACTCAACATTTGCCCAGTACTTCCATACACGTTTGCTAGTGCCTTTATACACATTCATCTAGTGCTTCTATACATGTTCGCTCAGTACTTCCATGATATGTTCGCATGGTGTTTCTATTAAATATTCGACCTATTTCAGCAAAGCCTAAAAAAGTTAGTGAACAAAACAATAACAAAAAAAAATAAAATAAAAAAAGAAACAAGAACAAAAAAACTTTTTACCTACTTGAAACGCCGCAAACACGTTTTCTGGTGCTGATTCTGCTCAGCAAAGCCTTAAAAAAAACTTCAAGAAAGAAAAAATGAAATTAGTAACAAGATTAACAAACTAAAGAAAAAGTGAAAGATAAAGAAAAAAAAAAAAAAACATGATTCAACAAAATTGGCAGACTCAATATTTGCCCAATGCTTCTATATACATTTGCCAGTACTTTCATACACGTTCATCTGGTGCTTCCATACATGTTTGCCTGGTGCTTCTATGATATGTTTATATAGTGTTTTCATTAAACGTTTGACCTACTTCAGCAAAGCCTAAAAAAGTTAGTAAACAAAACAATAACAAAAAAAAAAAAAAGAAACAAGAACAAAAAACTTTCTTATCTACTCGAAATGCCGCAAATACACATGTTTCCTGGTGCTGATTCTGCTTAGCAAAGCCTCAAAAAAACTTTCAAGAAAGAAAAAATAAAACTAGTAACAGATTAACAAAACAAAGAAAAAGTAAAAGGTAAAGAATAAATTTTATATTTTATCAGAAATACTGCACACATGTTTGCCCAGTATTGATTTATATTCTGTGAAGTCTAAAAACCCCAAGAAAGAAGTTAGTAACAAATTTAACAAGAAAAAAATTGAAAAACAGAAAAACAAAAAAAAAAAATCTTATCTGAACACTATATGCACATTTACTTGATGTGGATTCGCATCCGGTGAAGTCTAAAAAAACCCAAGAAAAAAAATTGAAAATAATAACAAAACAGAAAAAAGAAAAACAAAGAATTAATTAATATCTTACTTTATCCAACAAACTCTTATAATTATGAAAAACTTTCTTTCTGTTATTTTTTTTTATATATTATGATGTAATTATGTTTTTCCAATATTCAAAAAAAAAACAAACTCAGTGAGTGACTCCCTACCAATCATGATTATAAATTATCAGATAACACTATTATTGGGCAAATTTGTGAATAATGGCAATTTGGCTTAACCGGACAAATGATTGGCTAACAAGTGCTGTGATATCAGCCAATATTATTTGTCTAGTTGAGCCAAATTGCCGTTATTCACAAATTTTTGCCCAACTTAAACTACTGCATATCCAAAAACCTCCAAGAAAAAACTGACATCCGTCAAGAAAGAAACCTAATATCTTTCAAGAAAGAAAACTAACGTTCTCCAAGAAAGAAAACTGAAATTATTAGTAATCAAACTAACAAGAAAAAAAAACAAAAAAAAACAAAAAAAAAATTTAATAATTTATTCAAAAAGCCACATTTGCACATACTAAGCAACATCTAGCAAAGCCTAAAAAAAAAAGTTTAATAATACAAGACAAATCTAAAACAAAACAACTAGAAGCAAAAAAGGAAATTATAATATACCTAAAAGCCGCTTAACATTTGCTGGTGCTGTTAGTGTTTTGCTCCTTTAAGCCTACAAACCTAAAAAAAAAAAAAGTAAACAAATTTCTAAAAAAAAAAAAAAAAAATCAAACCGAGATCTAGATCGATTGGATTAAGGGTAATCCCTAATCCGGCTCACTCTATTTATATGATCATCAATCTTTAATGTGATTGGCTGATCATATAAGAGTCGTATAGCGACGGGTCGCTATTGTATTTTTGTATTATATATTATTAGTTTATATTATAATTAAAAGGAATAAAATATATAAATTTTTCACACACTATGGAGAACTCTTTCTGACGATCACTTGGTTCAAAATTCTCATAGAAGAAAACACAAATTTTGTTAGAGAGTCATGGTCTAATGCAGTGGTTTGTCTAGAGGTCAACATACTGTCTAGTAGGACTCCTCTACAGATAATATTCGGCATACAAACCAAGAGCATTATTATACAAGATAACTGACAGGAGGTGCTCTTGTATAAAAAATCTTGATGAAGAAGAGAACTCTTTGGACACACTTTTTCTTTATTGATGAAGCTCTTAGGCTATGCTTCTTTGAAAATACTGAGAAATAACAAAATATTCTGTATTTTCTTCAAGCTACACTCTTTTTACTTGGTCAAGTAGTACCTTTTTACTCTCTCTTATCCTTTTGTCAGTCTTTCAAAAAATTTTAACAAAAAGTGAGAATTTGGCTTACCCCTTCCAAAAGATTAGTATTGTTTACTTCTCAAATTCAGATAAATTAGCGAAATACAACTACATGTTTGTTTACAAACGAATATAGTGCTTTTTTATAAAACTTAGCCTAAAAACTCTAATTATAGTAGCAGGTGGCTTGAGATATGAGTCCTTGGATAACAGCAGCACCTGGCTTGAGATATGAATTAGAACAAGCAACAAAGTTATTCAAAGTTGGTGAAAAGGTTGAAAAGTAAATTTAATGTTAAAGCAAAGCTTTATAGTAAAGATATACAAATATTGCATTTGTTATATAATTTTTATTAGCTATACACGGGTTATAATAGTGCCTTCAGAGTTTTAGATTTCTTTTTATATCTTTTCTTTTTTGCAATCAGTGTTTCTTTTTTTTTTCTGTTTTTTTTTTTTCTGATCGTTTTCATTACTCTTTGTTAAAAAATTTCCTCCTTTTGTCTCATGCCTCTTGAAAAGAAGGAAGCATTAAAAGAGAAAAAAGAGATTCTAATGCAGTATACAACAACTAGTCAAATAATCACTTTGTTGATACAAAATCTGAAGCAAGTTTCAGATCCTGCTATAAGACTAATAATTGTTATAGCAAATTATATTGGGCTTTAGCTTAGTGAGTTTCTATTAGAATAGAATATTATACTAGTCTAGGTTGTTATATATATAATAATTTTATAGTAGTTCATAAAATAAATAGAAGCAGGATCACTTAATATAAAAAAAATATATATATAAATTTTAATTATTATTATCTAATAAATATTCTCAAATTTAATTAGTTAATATATTGTTATAGAACGAATTTATTATTAGTTTATTATTTTATTATTTATTAATTATCTTAGAATATTATTATTA